GTAAACTTTTGCTTTTAACATAAATATGATGATAGTTTACTGCACCTTTCAAAACCAGTATCAGCAAAAGTAACTTTTGAAGCGTATTAATTATTTTCTTATACTTTACCAACTTTGTTTTTTAAAGACATTTCTTATGCTCACGAAGGCTGCATTTATTTTATCAAAATATAATAAAAACAGTAATATGTGAAATGTTGTTACAATTCAAAATAGCCTTTTTATATTTTAATATATGTGAAAATGCTGTTTATTCCTATGATGGAAAAGCTGAATTTTAAGCAGCCATTACTCCAGTCTTCAGTGTCCCATTCTAATATGCTGATTTGGTGCTCAAGAAATATTTCTTATTCATATCAATGTTAAAAAACAGTTGAGCTGCTTAACATTTTTCTGGAAACCGTGATATATTTTTTTTCAGGATGCTTTGATGAATAGAAAGAACAGCATTTATTTGAAACGGAACTCTTTTGTAACATTACAAATGTCTTTACTGTCACTTTTGATCAATTTAATGCATTTTTAATATTACATTAATGCATTAATAAAAGGATTCGTTTTTTTAAAACTGTTGTGTACATCTGTGTTATGAGCACCTCTGTGTTTGCAGAGTGTTTCAGGAGTGGTTGAGTGCCTGAAGATCATCACCAGGGAGAAATCTCGCCGTATCGCTAAATTTGCATTCGACTACGCCACCAAGAAAGGCCGCAGCAAAGTGACTGCTGTCCACAAAGCAAACATTATGTAAGTATGAAGGGATTATTCCACCATACAGTTTTAAAGCTAAACACATAGACTCGCTCATCTCGGATTATCTTCACAGGAAACTCGGGGATGGTCTCTTCCTGCAGAGCTGTGCGGAATTGGCTGAACTTTATCCCAAGATTAAATATGAAACCATCATCATTGATAACTGCTGCATGCAGGTATAGTTTCCAGTCTTTTATTATTAATGACCAGCAATTAGAATGGCCTATATATATTTAATTAACATATTGTTCTGTGGCCCACAGCTGGTGCAGAATCCTTATCAGTTTGACGTGTTAGTGATGCCAAATCTCTACGGCAACATCATCGATAACCTGGCAGCAGGGCTGGTGGGCGGAGCCGGCGTAGTTCCAGGCGAGAGTTACAGTGCAGAATATGCTGTGTTTGAAACGGTTGGTGTCTAAATCTTGTATTTCATTCCTTCATTCATTATATATGAACTGTAACAGTTTCAGACTCGGAATAAACTGCTTTGCAGTGTGTATGAGGACTTAACAGTGATTCCTGTCGTCTTGTATTTTCAATCAGGGTGCCAGACATCCCTTCGCTCAGGCTGTTGGCAGGAATATCGCAAACCCTACTGCTATGCTCCTCAGTGCATCCAACATGCTGAGACACCTCAAGTGAGTCTCCCACTGTTATCCAGCATTGATATTCCATATTTACTTCATATCTTGTGTTTAACCTTTAAATTGTACCATTAATTGCTATGTTTTGACTTTTTATTCCCATTAAACGTGGTTTTCAGTAGAGCCCGACCGATATATCGTTTTGCCGATTTTATCGTCCGATATGAGCCTGTCACAGATATATCAGTATCAGCGAATATGCCACCGATATGAAAATGTTTTTACAGAACATAAAACGCAGATAAAATGCTTGTAAATGGTGTAATTACATAGTTTGTCCAGCAGAGCACGCTCCATTGTTGGCTACTGGCGACCTGGATGAAATGCTTTAAAGCTTAAGTGTATGGAATACCATTGAAACTTTGAATGGCCATATCTCCATAACGGCGCAGCGGATCCGCACCAAATTCGGGGGATCCCTTCAGCTCGAGGAACCCTCTTGAGCGCCGAATCGAGTGTATGTCTCGAGGCCCCCTTTCGAATGAGACCACCCCGTGTCGATAGCCCCCGGGATCCGGGAGTTATGGGCGGTTAAATTTGCGGTCGGGCGCCAACCGATCTGGCTTATACAATATACTACTGTGATTGTAGTTGTTAAATAAAAATGTCATTCATATCATGCATCACCTAATTTCATCGTAACATATAGGCCTGGCCTACAGAAAAGAACATTTATGTTTAATCTATCTAATAGTGCGTTGTTCACACTATACAATGATTTATAGCTTGTCTTTGTTGAATAATACAGAACATAAAGAGCTTTAAAAATAATTGCATATTAAATCGCAATATTGGTCAAAAAAAAAATCGCAATTAGATTCTTTTCCAAAATCGTTCAGCCCTATTTAAAACCGTGTTAATTATTCAAAACATTTGACCAGTCTTGGTGATTGTATTGATGTGAGTGGTTTTTTTTCTTTCAGTCTTGAGTATCACTCAAACATGGTGTCTGAGGCTGTCAAGAAAGTTATCAAGCAGGGCAAGGTAAGAGATGTTTGTGTGTTCAAGTCTGAATGGGAGAGAAAGGTGTATTGTGTGGCTGATAGAACTATATGCAGCTTATATACCATGTAGAGAACATGAGTGTGAGTGTAGGTGTGAGTTCAAGATGCACAGTTTGTTGTTGATGGATGTTTATGCTTGGATGTCTGTATAGTCTTGGTGGCATTGGTTTTCATCCTAATTGGTTGGTTTTCCTTTGCATCTGGCTTGGGATGAATGACCCCAACCGCAACACAACACTATATCTTTAACCCTGAAACACTTTTAATAAATAAAGAGTTTTAGCCCATCCAGTTTTGTTTCTACTTTACACTTTGGTTGAAACCCTCTGTGTTTTATGTGGACAGTTGGGGCTTTTTGGTTAGTTTTGTGGGTTGAATTTCTGCTGACTCTCAGACATAGTCTTTTCTTATATTTTATGACTGTCATCTCATTTAAAGACCTCATGAAATAAGTCTTTCATTTTAGCCATGACACGTTTGTTTTATTGAAAGAGTATGTTTGGGTGGAATATATCGAAGGGCTCATCCCTTTTTTGGTGAAAATCCATTAGCCTTTATGCAAATAAAAAAATAAAACACTTTACAGTAGGTCTCATTTGTTACCATTTAAAACTACGCAAATTATCATAAACAATACTTCTGCAGCATTTATTAAGCTTAATGTTAAATTCAACATTTACTATACTGATACATTTTTTAAATGTGTCTGTTTATATTAGTTAATGCATGAACGGCAGGAACAAGCAATGAACTACTGTATTAACTAACAGCAAAGATTAATCATATTAATGTTACCTTTTTGTAAAGTGTTACCAAAAAAAAAATAAAAAATGTTCAAGCATTCGCACAACTGAAGACATTTATGGTTGGCAAAAAAAAAAAAAAAATTGTTTAAGCATTCGCACAACTGAAGACATTTATGGTTGGCTCTTGCTAGTTGAAACACATGGTATTTCTAATGAAGGAATTGTGGTAACACACAAGAACTGAAAGCCACAAAAAACGAATCTGATTTTACTGACACGGATGTCGCTCAGTGTATACATTCAGCTTCAGCTTTGGCATTTCTAAAATTTTCCCTCTAATACAAACTCTGACATGCAGTCAAACTCTAGGCTTCAGGTTTGTGCTTGTCCTTTAATTCTGATGTGGTCTTCAGCTTCCCTTTCTCCACGTTTCCTTCTCTGCCGTCACATCCCGTTGTGGGTGTATGTGACTGTCTGTGTGTATTTGTGTGTGTCCCAGGTGAGGACGCGAGACCTAGGGGGTTACAGCACCACTGGTGACTTTGTCCGTGCGGTTGTGGACAACCTGCGCCATCGGACTGTTTGAAGATGGTCGCCATTGTCTATCCGGGATCACCCTATACATGCCACTTCTGATCTGAATATGTTCGAAGACAATTTTAAAGCAGCCCTGTCATATCCTACACTGCAAAAAAGGGCTTATCTTACTTAGTATTTTAAGATAATAAAAAAAAGTATTTTAGTAGTAAAATATTCTTAAAACAAGAGTATTTTACTTACCCCACTGGCAGATAATTTTACTTGTTTTAAGCAAAATACGCTTAATTTAGTTTTTTTCCCCTGGAAACAAGACTAAATATCTCAAGTCATTTGTCTTATCTAGTAAAAGTATCTTGATTTTAAGAATTTTTAGATATTTTGACTAGAAACGACAAAAATATTAAGTAAGATAAGCCATTTTTTGCAGTGTACATTTTCTTTCCCCTTTTCCCATTTCATTTTCTCTCCTTTTTTTGGCTGGTTACTAGGGATGTAACGATTCACTCAACTCACGATTCGATTCGATTTATTTCAAAAAGGTAATTTGTTTTTAGTTATTTGATCAAAATACAGTAAAATTGTGAAATATAACTTTAAAAATAACTTTTCTATAAAATAAAAATGTTTCTGTAATGGCAAAGCTGAATATCACATGATCCTTCAGAAATCATTCTAATATGCCGATTTGGTGCTTATGAAAAATTTCTTATCATCAGTGTTAAAAACTGTTGTGCTGCTTGATATTTTTGTGGAAACTGTGATACTTTTTTTTTCCAGGATTCTTTGATGAATAGAACGTTCAAAAGAGCAGCAATTATTGTTGAATGCTAGTGTATTTCTGACATTGCTTTACTGTGCTTCTTTGTTCACTCCGGTTTTAAGTTTAAATTTAAGTTTGTTATATAGATAACTTTAGTTTCTGATTCCTGCTTTTATAGAATGTCTGTTTGGGGCTGGTCCTCGTCGAATTGCCTTTGTGATTCCAGGACCTCAGTGAATTTGTTTATCAGCAAGTTTGCAAAAGCCATTTGGCATATTGAAACTGAAGTGCCAGCGGTGTTTTTCCCCTTTTTAATGTTACTAATGTAAACATCACTAATCAAATCTGCTGCTGTCATAAGTCAGATGGGCAATTATTGGTTTCATTTCATGATGCAAATGTTCTGGACAGGAAGTCTGCTCCGTGCCATTGCTGACTAACTGTGGAAATGATGACTGACTGAAATCAAAGGCAAATGATGTCTCTCTCATTTTTAAATTACCTCAGTCATTGCGGTACTGATCTAGTTGTCTTCATATTTTTCTAAGCTCAGCACCTACAGTATTAGTATTTTCACTTTTACATCTTACCTTGTTTGGGAAGGTGGAAACCATGCATTTCAATTACACAGATTTCTCAATGTTTATTCATGCTTTAAATGAGCTGACCAATGTTTTGTCAAATGTGAATTTTTATTCTTTTCAGTGCCCAAAAAAATAAATATGTAAAACCGAAAGGATTGAAAAGTGTCACTTTGTAGTCACTGGTATTAATGTGGATTGCTTGCATTGTTTGAAGACCTTCATCCTCATTTAACATTCACAAACTGGAAATCAAAATAACAATCATCATACTCTAAATGTGCTGAATGTTGAGAAGCGTGTGTTTGTGAACCTTGTTTGGGAAGGTGGAAACCATGCATTTCAATTACACAGATTTCTCAATGTTTATTCATGCTTTAAATGAGCTGACCAATGTTTTGTCAAATGTGAATTTTTATTCTTTTCAGTGCCCAAAAAAATAAATATGTAAAACCGAAAGGATTGAAAAGTGTCACTTTGTAGTCACTGGTATTAATGTGGATTGCTTGCATTGTTTGAAGACCTTCATCCTCATTTAACATTCACAAACTGGAAATCAGAATAACAATCATCATACTCTAAATGTGCTGAATGTTGAGAAGCGTACGTGTGTGTGTGAGGAAAAACTGTTAGTTATGGATTTTTTACATTTATATATTTTTTAGGTGCACTATATATTCATGCGAACGGACAGCAGAATATATTATATAATATATAAAAAATTATGTATAATAATTTATTGCTCTTTTTGGTGTAGGTTCGCACCTCAGACCTGGGAGGCTATGCGACAAGCGAGGAGTTCACCAGGGCTGTCATCTCTAATCTGGCCGTCTAAACCAATCCCAGCGCTCCACAAATATCATTTTAAGCACAATCTGCAGCACTGATCGTCCAGTGTTAAACTCTGTTGGTCCAGCATTTCACATTTCCTTGACTCAAGCCTTGCTAGTGGCCTAACTCTTAAACTATCACATAGTCTACAATAGAGCACAAGTGTTGTAACATTCATATGTTGTGTCTATTCAGAACCACTGATGTAACAGACTATATTGCTTTATGATGCTGCTTAAAAACGTAGCTATATTTATTCAGATATGTATTACTTAATTGCAAATGCTACCTGTTCAAACATTACCAATAATAAAATGTTAAGGACTATTCTGGCAAGCATGATGTCTTTTTCAGTGATATCATTACACTAAATAAAAACTGTGCTGTACATAAATGATGCCACTCCCAAGAGAAATGTTCCATTATTCAGCTACAATGATTGTTTACATGGTTGAAATATAAGTATAAATATGTAGAATAAAACAACAATGAATATGTCAGAATATAATAAAAACAATAAGAATTAGGTTTTTTTGTTTGTTTTATCATTCATAAAATCATTATGCAGTGGAAAGAAATGGTTTAGAGAGAGAATATTTCCTTTTTAAAATGTTGAACAGCCTCATTGTTATTAATAACTAAAGTTTCCCACCCAAAAAAATATTGTGTATTTAAGATGCTATTAAAATGAATCGACAATAAGCAAGTATTTTTGCACAGCATTTATTGTTACTTAATAAAAATATAATTATTTATGGTTCATGTTAGCTCAGTTTCATTAAATAATGTTAACAGATACAACTTTTGATTTTAACAATGTATTAAATGTTGAACTTAACTAAGATTAAAATGTTTTTAAATTATTTTTCAATGTTCAAGTTAAACTAATACAGTTAACTAATGTTAACAAATGGACTAGTTATTTTTTCTATAATAATATTTTTTTAAAATCATCAATATATAAATGGCTTTTAACAGCCTAAGATGGTTTTCTGGTGCCCCATCCTGGTCTGGTTTGCTGATTTTAAGGTGTTTGGAGCAATTTACCAAATTGCCAGATAAACCAGTAAAACACCTTAGACTTGATTAAGAGTTTTTAAGGGATAAATTATATGAATTTTAAATGAAACAGACCGTGACATATTAACGTAATGTATCGGCTGTTTTTTTTTTAATTCACACCAAATCCCTGGCCAGAACACCTGTATCAGACTGCTCTCTAACGCGCAATACCACAACCGGCCGCAGGGTGGCGCATTGCACTTAATGACCTCCCGTACATCCCCTTTTCTTGGAAGCAAGTCGTCCGCCAGATGTCGCGGTATCTCTGCTTGGGAAGAGGAGAGGAGGGGCCTGGCCTGGGAATCCGCTGTTTCCCATTCCAGGCGCAGGGGCACAACATGGCGGATTAGGAGGCGAGCGACGCGCCCGGATACAACGAACAAATCGTGGGATACCGATTCCCCGTGTCGCGGAGAAGGCAGGAATATAGACTTTTCGGAGAGCTAACGCACACCTTTAAGACTTCCCGAGACATGCATTTCGGATACCAGTAAGCGCCTTCGTTGCTTTGCCCCACTCCAAATTGGCTGTCTGTCCGAGATCATTCCAATCACCCAGGCCCCCCACCCCGAACACACTCTCGGTTCCTGGGGTGTGGAGACAGGGGCCGGGGAAGTGGAAAACAAATCGCACTTTATCTGGAACATCAGGCTCCGTAGCGCGGTACAGGGCTGTCAAGGTGAGTTACATCGCTGCTTCTCTGAGTATATTAACTGCGCAAACTTCTGTTCATCGCCTCAGTTTGTCTGATATCTATCCCTTGTGTCACTCAGGTTTCGTCACGTTAGTGGGTCGTCTAGCCAAAGAAAGCAAAGCCCTTTGTGGCACATCCGAGACCCAGGCGCAGGTTTATGTAACGTTTACGCAGCGCGCAAGGATGTCTTGGGAGCGCACCCAATAATGTTTGAAGCAAAGCTAACATTTGCCGAACTAGCTGGGAGGCAAGGAGGGAAAAATGAGGGGGTGGGGGGGTCTGCCGAGAAAAGGAAGGGGGAGAAGAAGAGGAAGAGAGACACGCATAGCTTTTAGTGGAAGTCAGGCAGATTGTGCGCCAGAACGCAGGCGTGATTTCTTACTGGATACAATTATCAAAGACATTATCAAAGATACTTCACTTGATACATCGTGTCAGTTTTAGTGGTCTCAGACTGCATACGTTGTGAAAATATAAGTGATGTCTGACTGGATGAAAAAAAAAATCCCAAACTGAGTACTTTGTAGCAGTCTGATTTCTGACTTGATTAATAGTTGCGACGTGAATGGTTCTGGATTTTTGAATGGTTCTAGGCTGAATGCATAGTAAAGATAATAATGCTTCGTGACTAGATATTGTGCTAATATTAAAAATGTATAACTGGATACAATACAGGATAAATTATTACGGACTCAGTAAATTGTAACAATATTGGATGGTTCTAGACTGAATATTGAACCAATATTTATTTTTGACTTGATATATTTTAGCAATATCAAACATTTCTGGACACCTAGCAATATCATTGTTCACAGACTGTGTAGCAATATAAATGATTTCTGGCTGGGTAAATTGTTACTATTAATGGTTCCAGACCGGATAAATTGTGGCTATGTGAATGTTTTCTGACAGGATACATTGTTTTGATATATCCTAATAATATTAATCAGATTGGATACATTGTAGCAATTTCTAAGTGGATATATTGTAGCATTTACATTGTACATGTACATTGTTGTAGTATTACTTTTTTTAACTGGATATATTCTAAAAAATATAATGGTCTCGGACTAGATATATTGTAGCAATGGCAATAATTTCTTATTAGTAAAAATATGAATGTTTTCTGACCGGATAAATTGCAACTATTAATGGTTCCAGGCTGGTAAATTGCAGCTATGTCAATGCTAGCTAACTGGATGGATTGTAATGTTAGGAGTGTGCAACTGGCTGTTTACATAGTAACAATATAAATGATTTCAGACTGGATAAATTGTAACTATTAATGGTTCCAGACTAGATACACTGTAGATATGCATATCCTTTCTGTCTGGATACATTGTAGCAATATTAATCATCCCAGACTGGATACATTCTAAACACTGTAACAATAACGGATGGGAAGACAATGGGAGTCCAGTGCGTTCGCGTCACGCGCTGTGGGCGCTGAAAGTGAACATATTGATCAGCGCTTTGTCGCTACATGTTTTTAAAGGGTGGGCTGTGTGGGGAGAGAGGAGGGGAACGCGACGGAGCTGGTAGATCGAGATCTTTTGTGGACACAAACACAGGAATTATGTCGCTCCGACGTCCAGTCAAGTGCGCTATCCATTGTCTGCACTTGCTGATAAGTTGGCATGCAAATTCACCCGTTTTCTGTTTTATAAATCGGAGTTTTGCTTCCACTCTGTCGTAGTTTCCTCGCCACTGCAGTGCTAACATGCCTAGAGAATACTGGATTGAAAATCTAGTCGTTCATCACACTATAGCTTTAGTCTCTTTCACTGAATATGTGCCTTGTATGAATGGTCACACTTGTCAAAAAAAATTAAGGAGCTGTATGTCTATATGAAGAGACTTTCTATATTGTATTTTTGCCTTTGGTTAGCTGATGCAGTGCACCTCAGTATTTATGATACTTGCTGGTTATTGTTGAACCATGGAGAGTGTACTGTACAGGTTAGAATTAGAATCTTAAAAGATGAATATTGATGCATTAATATTGAGACTATTTTCAAGTTGCATTTAGCGCTGTATAGCAGCTTTGCAGTAATAAACAGGAAAAACAATGTGTTAGTTGCAAAATTCATCAATTTTGAAACTTGAATTTTAGCTGTAATGCAGCTCTACAGAAGACAATAATGTCATTATTCAGCCCAAATTCAAATTCAGTTTCGTTTCAATTCAGTTCAATCACAGTGTCAATGTTGCAAAGTTTAAAAATAAACAACCTAAAAAGCAGCTTTGCAGAAGACTGTCGAGTTATCTAGCTCAGCTCAGTTCAGTTTAAGTTTTTGTGTTCTCATCCGATAGTGTCAGTACAGTCAGATTAATAATATTTTCTGAACATTAATTCTTTTAATCCTCAATTGAGTAAGCCAAAGGAGACAGTGGCATGGAATCCAAACTCTATTAGTATTCTTTTCTGTATAGGCTACCTACTGTGATGTATGCAGTGCTTGGACAAGCAAATATGAAAAAGCTTGTATGAAATCCTGCAATGCACTTAGTTCGCTCCAAATCAGGAAAACATATTTTGTACATTTTGTTCTCTGCATTCTTAACAATTCAGCGGGTGTCATAGTATATTTGATGTCATCGGTCTAGTCTCACCTTGCTTGGGTTTCTCTTATCGACTCGTCCTGTTTGGACCTGTTATTACTTCTCCCTGCAAGCAACGAGGTTATGAAATAGACCTGCACCTTTGGCAACCAGAGCAGCTAGAGATGACGCCCTGTAGTTCTCCCACAGCTTAACTTTTGCGATGATCCAACCGTCTAAGTGAGTAGTTAGATGGCACTACAGCACCTGCAATACCTGCAGTGTAATTTTCACAGGCATTAGGTAATATTTTGCATACATTCTGACACAATTACAACAAAGTGCATTCTGAATGCTTTTTAAAATTGTAGTTAGAAAAATAGACATTTTATGTTCAATTCCTGAGAGATTATTTTATGAACATGCCCATTTTTGGTATGTACTCTCTGTGTAGTGTCATCATATCCATTCCAATCATAATGCGTCCATTTAACATGCACTGTCAAGTAAAGCAGAATAGACATGAATGCACGTGCGTTCTGATTGCACGGTTTGCAGAGATTTGTTTTGCAATAATCCAGTCACAGAGTCTTAAAGGAATAGTTCACCCAAAAATGTCCTGAAAATGTACTCACCATCAGGCCATCCAAGATGTAGATGAGTTTGTTTCTTCATCAGAACAGATGTGAAGTGAAAAGCTAAATTTCTCCACATGTTAATTGGGTCCTGAGTCCTGTACTTGTGGATTATTGTGATGTTTTTATCAGCTGTTTGGTCTCTCATTCTCACGGCACCCATTCACTGCAGAAGATCCATTGGTGAGTAAGTGATGTAATGCTAAATTTCTTCAAATCTGTTCTTATGAAGAAACAAACTCATCTATATCTTGGATGACCTGAGGGTGAATACATTTTCAGCAGATTTTCATTTTGGGTGAACTATTCCTTTCTAAGCAGCATTGCAAATTATGTTAAATTTGTTTGTAGAATAATAATGTATTCTAACAGACCTAAAGGCTCTTTCTGACATGATGAACTTCTGATCCAGTTTCTATGATTAGTAGTTTTTCATCTGCTTTTTGAAGTGAGACTTCTGAAGTCCTGTCCTCAGAAGCAGTTTAGCCAACTACAGATGTCAGAGAGGATAAGCCACTGGATCAGTGGAGAGGGTGGCGTCTTGGGCGTTGTTTTCCCCCTAACTTTCAGCAAGCACAAGGGCCCAGGCAGAATGCATGCCAGTTTATATTAGCAAAGGATCCTGGGAGATTTTACAAGACATTTTACTGAGGCTGTTCGGGTTTGATGACTTGATAGGAAGTGAATTCTGTTGCTTTGAGTAATGGAGTACATGAAGATTGTCTTCTTAAAGGGACAGTTCACCCAAAAATGTAAAAAAAAAAAATCCTCATGACATTTTAAACTTGTGTGACTGCCTTTCGTTTGTGTAAAGTAAAAGGTTTTGAATTTTTGAAGAATGAAAATGAATGAGTTTAAATAAATCAGATGATCCATTTTACAAAGCTTCTCTGGAAAAATCATTCACAAATCAGACAGGCAAGTCAACAGATCACTGGAATTGAAGAATAGCAATGAATGACAAAAAACTGTTGTAAGGCTTCAGAAGACTTGAAATATAAGTCCTGGGAACCACTTTTATGATATGTAGGCTATATGGTGATTTTGCATTCCTTTTGAAACTTGACAGCCCTAATTCTCATTCACTTTAATTATGTTGAAAACTGAGCCAGGATATTGTACCTTTTGTTTAAAAAAAGAATGTCATACAGGTTTGAAATGACATGAGGGGGAGTAAATCATGACCGATTTTTTTTTTATGTTGTTTTTCCCCTCAGATTCTGTGTCAGATCTGAGTGAGAGAAACACACGAGTTGTGAGAGCGCTCTTTTGGACATCCACTGTATGTTTGGACTCACTGTGTGGCTCAGTCTAACTGTGTGCTAAATACTGACCTCATCTTTGCCACTTCCTGCCCTCTGTGTGTGATGTGGCTAGACCAGAACCCCCCCCCAGATGGGTTAAAATTATCCATTTACCCTGATATCAGTACTTTGCACAGAATTTCTCAAGTCAGATTGTGTGAGTGATCAAGGATTTTTATTTCTAGCTACTGTATGTGACTCTCAGGTTAACCAACATACCAGTTTTTTTTTTATTTTACTGATTTTTCTTACGCCTGCCTTTTCTATTTTGCGTGTCTAAATTAAAGTCGCTGCTAATGGCTTTGTTGTTAAACAGACATATGAGCTAATATAATCTCAAGTGATACATAAACCATACACTCCAGTTCAAAAGTTTGGGGTGAGAAAGATTTTCAATGTTTTTGAAAGCAGTCTATTATGCTAACCAAGGTTGCATTTATTTGATCAAAATAAGTTAAAAACAGTAATATTGTGAAATATTATTCCTATTTAAAAGAACTGTATT